AGATGATCTAATTATTTCGTAAGTGACAAATATGAACATTGCTACAGGGAAGACACAAGCATGTGGGGTCCACTTTTTTTAATAATATTTACCTACATCCATGTGACTCTTTTGTAGAACTTCTGGCATGAATGATTCTGTCCATTCAACATTATTCGTCAAATATTGACAGTTTAGAGTTCTTGTCTCGCCCATGTTCAGTGACCTTAATTTTTAAAAAAATTAAAAAAATTATGTTTTGAATATTACTTTTGGAGAATATATGGTTAAAAAGAGCATTGCTACACTTACAGAGGCCGATTCACAGAATTTATACGGAGTACTTGACAATTCCTGGTTGAAAGATGGGAAAAAATAAAAAATGAACCACACAAATAATTAATCAATCTATTAGAAAATTATAAAACAAGTTTCAGTCGTAATAGTAACGCAACATTGTCGTTTTTTTATTAGTTTTAGATACATTTGATGATTTTGAAATGCTCAATAATACAATTTATATACAATAATTATTTAAAAATCAGAACAACCGAATAATAATAATAATAATAAATCGTTCTAATCGATGCTTGATTATTTAATCGACGTGTCCATATCTTCAAGATAATAATCGTAATTGATATCTATAAATTATTGGTGGAGTTGATAGATCCCATAATGGAGTCTATAACAAATAGTAATGCCAACAAGTTATTGTAATAAGAGAGGTTAATTAATATTTTATAGAATGTCATATTCATCAATGTATATTAAAAAATGGATTCTTATTTTTTATGTTGGAAAAGAAGTGGGGTAATCAATCGCAATAATGATGGGTTATTATAGAATTTACCTTTCGATTTTGCATTGACATGAGAACCTTCTAACTGAAATTACTATAAATTGGTCATTATAGATAGGGTTGGGCCCATAAACCCGAAATCGCGGATCCGAACCAACCCGAACAGAAGCCCACAAAAACTCTTTTTCAGCAAACTTTATCCGGAAGGATCTCTCCTTTTCATACCGTCAACTGGCTTCATTTCTTGTTTAGCAGTCGAAGTTTGTTTCTCGTCTCTTGGCATTGATGAGTTTTTGTTCATCTTGAATAAATTAGTTGCTTTAACTGTGTTGTATGAATGACAAATATTATTTTGTTAAAAATTTCTTGTTGAAATGACAAAAGTATTATTTAATATTTAAGTCAATCAGTACTTGAAAAAAAAAAAAAAAATTGTACCCGACCCGGTTCGACACCCGACTTGACCTGATTCGAACCAGGTCGGGTCGTGGAAGAGCCCAAAACCAAGTATGTCGGGCCTGTTTTGGGCCAAAATCGACCCAGCCAGACCTAATGCCCACCCCTAATTATAGAATTCACCTTAACAATTTTTTTGTCTTTAGATTATTCTTATAAATTTTAAGCATAAATCTAAATTCTCTTTACGATCATGACTGTTGTGAATCTATCCCGCAAATGAACGTGTTATGTTTAGGCCGCCTTACTGTTATTGGACTTGGGCTACTGGCATTGGACTTCCGAGTTTTATAACTTGATAAATGTTTTGTGGAAAAGCGATTCTATCTCACAGCTGTTGGATCTGTGTGATTATTGGTTTTGACACTTAATTTCACATGTCTCACCGCTTTGCGTTGATTGATATTATGAGTGATTTTTAGAGTTTCTCTCTGAGTTCCATACTCTTCTTCATGTTCAATCTCTACAATCTTTTGGTGAGGTTTTCTTGATTGTATCTAGCGAATGATTTTATTAGAATCCCACATTGTTTGGGAAAATATAAATGATTCACTTTATAAGGTGAGGGCAATCATCCCCTAATAAACCGGTTTTATTAG